AGTCCCGTGCCGAGAGCAGTGCTGAGCGGCACGGCACCTTGCTCTCGGTCTTGGCGGGCGACTGCAAGCCTTGCTTCGGAGCAGGCTGTTAGGGGTGGCCTCCAGTGTCCGGTGCAAGCTGCCGTGCTTTCCACTGCCTCAGTGTCCCCGTTAGTAAGGGAGAGTGCGCACGAGCTCTGCCCTGGCCCACCCGCCCTAGGTCCTTCTCCTTCTCCTCCTTTCTCCACCTTCGTCGCCCATCCTCCCCATCTCTCGGCCCAGCACAGGCTCCTCCAGGCTCTGAGACAGTCCTGCCCCGGTCTCCTGATAGCTGCCCCGTGCCTCCTCAGGCTTGGGGCCCAGCTGCAGCTCCACAGGGGCTCCGTGCTGTGTGCCTGTCGTCCCGCCGCACGCGTGGCCTCCCTGGCCCTCGGCAGCAGCAGGATGCCCAGAGCCCTTGTGGGCCGGGCCGGCTCCTCTTACCCTGGGCTCATGTCCTATTGGGCCCTGGGTTTCAGAATATTGAGCACGTGCATGTAAAGCGCGGCTGCCATGGCCACACTCGAGCTGTGTCTGCTGCGGATTCTGGCCTGGCCCCTCTGTGTGACCCTAAGACTGGCTGCTACACCATGCGCCACGGAGCCGCCAGCAGGTTCCAGCTATCTTCTGTGACCTGTCGCACTGGCCGTCATCCTGCGTCCTTTTCCTGCCAGCTCCTCTTCTGTCTCTGACAAAGCTGTCCCCGCCTCCTCCACACACCTCTGGGAACACACGCAGGTGCCCCGGGCCTCACGTGTCCTCCGTGCCGCCCGGACCACAAAGCAAGACCCTAACTCAAAAAGCAAAACAAAACAAAACAAACCACTAGCTCTGATCTAGGCCACAGTGTTACCTGTCCGGCTCAGGGTGCCCCTCTTGCCTCCTGAGGGCATGATTGTCCCTGTTTGTGCCACGGCGCATGCGTGGGGCCGTCCAGGTGCAGTTCTGACATCCTTGTCCCGAAGAGGCCTTCCTGGTCCCCAGCACAGACCACGTCCCGTGCTCCTTCCGGTGAGCAGCCCAGCAGTACCCTGTCCTCCTGCAGGAGAAGATGCTGGACATCTACTGGCTGCTGCGCGCCTGCCTGCGGACCATCGAGCACGGGGACCGCACGGGCTCGCTCTTCGCCTTCATGCCCGAGTTCTACCTGAGTGTGGCCATCAACAGCTACAGCGCTCTCAAGAACTATTTTGGCCCTGTGCATAGCATGGAGGGGCTCCCAGGTGACAGGGCCAGTCCCGCCTGGAGGGGGCAGAAAAGGCTTCGGGAGTGACCGCGGGAGCCCGTGCCCCCGTGTGGGAGGAGCTGCCCCCCCCCCCCACCGCATGTCCTCCGCCCCGGGACCTGCAGCGTGGAGCCAGCAGCTTCCCCTCGGCGCTGGGCGGAGGGCAGACGGGTGGGGGTTCCTGGCTGCCACCGCCTTACTGCTGAACACTGGCTGTCGCCCAGCACCGGTCAGAGCACGGAGTGGGTCAGGGCAGAGGGCGGGGCCCTGCGGGGAGCAGACAGGAGCCGACACTTTCGGAGACCACCTGCCCCAGCCTGCCCCACGCCTGCCCTGCCCAGGCCTCGGCTCAGGCTTTGTCTCAGGCTCAGCACAGGGCAGAGCCACAGGGCTCAAAGCCATCGAGTGTGCGCACCGAGATGGGTTGGAGCTGGGATGGGTCTCTTGCCCCTGCCGCCGCCTCCAGAATGAGGCTGCGCCTTTGCCCTCCCCACTGCGAGTGCCGTGCCCAGCGTGCCCAGCTGCTCACCCAGCTGCAGGCTGGCCCGTGGAGCCCACTCCGGAGTCTACAGCCCAAGCCTGGAAACGCTGCCGGGGGCAGGCTGGCCTCTGGGGCCCCGCTCGGCCACCAGTTCTCACTGCCCCTCTTGCAGGCTACGAGGAGACCCTGACCCGGCTGGCTGCCATCCTGGCCAAACACTTTGCCGACCCACGAATCGTGGGCACTGGTGAGGTGCCCGAGGGGCCGGGGAGGGACTGGGATGGCATGTGTGGTGGCCGTGTGGGGATGAGGCAGGCTGTCGCGTCAGGCTCCTCCCTGCTAAGGCACGGCCTGTCCCTGCAGATATCCGAGACTCGCTCATGCAGGCCTTGGCCAGCTACGTGTGTTACCCACACTCCCTGCGGGCCGTGGAGCGGGTTCCCGAGGAGCAGTAAGCAGCACCGGGGTGGCGGCGGGCACACGTCCTCCCCGGCCCGGCACTACGCGCAGCCGCACCCTCACCTGTGCCCGACACCCCTCACCATCACAGGCGCGTTGCCATGGTGAGGAATCTCCTGGCACCCTATGAGCAGCGGCCCTGGGCCCAGACCAACTGGATCCTGGTTCGGCTGTGGAGGGTAAGCCTGGCCCGGGGGTGAGGCCACTGCAGGTGGAGGTCGCGCTGCCCCACTGACCCCTGCCGGCCCCACCCCCAGGGCTGTGGGTTCGGGTACCGCTATACACGACTGCCGCATCTGCTGAAAACCAAACCCGACGATGCCAGTTTGCCCAGCCTCCAGAGTGAGTATCTGGGAGGCAGGTCCTGCAGGCAGGCCGGGGGCCCTTGCCCACTACCCTGTGTTCTTGCCACTCCCCTCCTCCCAGCCCTTTTCCTGGACTTGTGGCTGTGTTCGGGCTTCCTCTGCTGCTCACTCCCCGCCCACGGGCGCTCTGGGACGGCTCCCGCCTGCTGTGCGCTTCCTGTGCGTGCTTCCGACGTGTCGCTTCGCATGGTCACAGTGAAAAGGGGCCACATCGTCCCCAGGGTGCTGGAAGCGTACTCTGTCCCTTGCCCTACATGCCAGTCCCCGCCTCACAGCCGTGCCCCAGCACCATCCTGCTCCTTCGTTATCTACGGGAGCCAGGTCTGGGGCATGGCTGAGGCCTTGAACCTCTGAGTCAAGAGGGGCACAGAGCCAGGTGTGGTGGTACGTGCTTGTTATCCCAGCACGCGGGAGGCTGAGGCAGGAGGATCACTGCAAGTTTGAGACCAGCATGGGGACATGACTTCAAGGCCAGTCTGAACTACATACTAAGACCCTATCTTTCAAAACAAACAAACAAAAAAGCACAGGCTGGAGGTGGCCAGGGTGCCCGAGGGTGCACGTGGGCCCTCCTGGAGTAGGGGACATTTGCCTGGGAGCAGAGGCGGTGCCCTCGCTCCTGTGCCCAGCTTTGTAGAGGGCCTGCCGCGTGCTGCCTCACCGCGCCCGGAGCGCGTCTCTGCCCTGCAGTCGGGGTGGCCCCGGAGAAGCCAGCTGCCTTGTGCAGAGTCACACAGCAAGTCCTTGCCCTGTGCTTCTCCTGCCTCGAGGGCAGGGCCAGGCTGCGAGGGGGAGCGAGACTCCATCCTGTGGCTGCAGGGACTATTGATTAGCATCAAGGAGGCCGGGGAGGGATGCTGGGCAGCACAACCCGAGCTCCGGTTACCGCCGCCTGCCAGCCCAGACTTGGCGCCCACCCCCTCGGCCATGTGTCGAGGCCAGGCCAAGGGCAACGGGATCGTGGAGGACAACAGACTCACTGGGCTCTCAGGGAGGCTGGCCTTGATACCAGTGGGTCCCTGGCCATGTCTGACCGGGGTGGGAGTCCGAACTTAGTGGGGTCGGGCTGCAGCTGCACAGCTACGCTAGGCCTGAGGGTGGTGCGTCTTGGAGGCTAGAGACCCCGAAGCTGGGGGTTCACCCAGCAAGGGGAGTCAGAACCCGGAGCTCCTAGGACTGCGCCCTGTTCTGTGCCTCCCCGACCTGAGTGTCCTGTCAGGAGTCTGCGGAGAGAGCAGAGGCAGCCAGGGCTGCTGCCTTGGAGCCCTGTAACGTCCCCTCCCCGTGCCCACAGAGCCCTGTCCCTCCACCCTGCTGCAGCAGCACATGGCGGACCTGCTGCGCCAGGGGCCTGACGTGGCCCCCAGCTTCCTCAACAGCGTCCTGAACCAGCTCAACTGGGCCTTCTCTGAGTTCATCGGCATGATCCAGGAGGTGGGCCGGGGCGGGAGCCGGGGCAGGGGCCCGCGCCTGTCCAGTGCCCAGGCGTGGCCCTGGGGTGCAGCAGGCCTCACCACCGCTGCCTGCCCCCCTTTCCGTGCCTCAGATTCAGCAGGCTGCTGAGCGCCTAGAGCGAAACTTTGTAGATAGCAGGCAGCTCAAGGTGTGCGCCACCTGCTTTGACCTCTCGGTCAGCCTGCTGCGTGTCCTGGAAATGACCATCACTCTGGTGCCTGAGATATTCCTTGACTGGGCCCGGCCCACCTCTGAGATGCTGCTGCGGCGTCTCGCACAGGTGTGTGCACCCGGCAGGGAGGGCGGCCCTGGGGACCTCGCGGGTGAGCCTGCCCCTCCGCCAGCAAGCTCCTGCCTTTGCAGCTGCTGAACCAGGTGCTGAATCGGGTGACAGCCGAGAGGAACCTGTTTGACCGTGTGGTCACCCTGCGGCTGCCTGGTAAGGCCCCAGATGCCTTGTGCCCCAACAGCGTGCCACAGGCGTTGGTTCCTCTGCCAGGACGGTCAGAGCGCCCCAGCCTCAGCCTCGCCCTGCTGTCAGGACAGTGGGAGGCACGGACAGCGCCAGCCGGGCCCAGGCCTCTGCTGAGGGAGCATGTGGGTGGTTCATCTCCTCCTTCCCCCCCGTAGGCCTGGAGAGCGTGGACCACTACCCCATCCTGGTGGCAGTGACGGGCATCCTGGTGCGGCTCTTGGTGCACGGTACAGCCTCAGAGTGAGTGCTGGGGTCTGTGAGCCCAGGTTCTTGTGAGGAGAGGGCAGGCAGGACCTCCTCGAGCCTGTCTCGCCTTGGAAATGGACCTCAGTAGGCAGAGGGCAGGTGGGGGGATGCGAAATGCCTGAACGGGGCACTGGCAGCGGCTCTGGGTAGAAGACTTGGAGCCAGCAGGGCAGGGCTCCCTGGCTTACAGCGGTGCCTCTGGGTGGGAGCTGGGGGCGGTGCTGTCCTGCAGTGGCCAGGACAACACTGCTGAACCAAGAGCCGGGCACACAATGCTCCTGCATGTGAGGCTCCCTCAGCGAGCACACACTGCCTTTATTGAGAAAGTCCGGAACAGCAGGGCTAGGACAGCCAGGGGGATCCCAGCTCAGCCGCACACGCAGACCCTTCCCTGCCCACTGCAGTGGGAGTGGGGAGATGCACTCGGAGCTGGGGCACTGCTTTAGCCATTAGGCTGAGACCAGTGCCAGCTTGGAAGAGGCTTCTGCCGCGAGAGACGTCAGGTTCCGGCTGGGCCCTCCCGGCTTGGCCCGCTCACCAGGCTCTTTACTGCCATGCCGAGCCCTGGGGATGCGCTCTGCCTCCAGAGTGACTGCCGCATGCCCCTGGCTGGAGAGAGCAGGACCGTTCTGACTGGGACTCAGGGCCCCATGGGCTCTCTGGAGACTGAGGGTTGAAGCTTTTAGTGAGCTGGATGCTGGTGGACAGAGGGCATTCTGTCTCACCCAAGGGAAGGAGGATGGGCTGATTTTCTCCGCTGCCTCCTGCCCTGGGGTAGGGGCCAAGTCTGAGCCCTCCCCCCGCCCCCATGGGCTCACACTCAACTTTCCTGAATGCACTTTAAATGCAAGGGGTCTTCCAGGTGGGCTTGGTCCCCCATGCTCAGGGGACACGGGCTTAGGAGGTTCCAGGGAGAACAGGCACTGTCAGGCCCCAGGGCCTGGGGGTCCTGTGCTAGGCAGCGCAGAAGGCAAGTTGGGGACTCCAGCTCCTCTCCCAGCGAGGAGGGACCCTGGGTGCAGGTGAGGGCCCACACAGGAGCCGTAAGGCCGGGTCAGGGCTTCCCACCAGCGCCTAGCAGTCCTCCGGACAGCAGTAGGGAGCGCGACAAGCAGGAGGAGGGCCGAGGCCTGGGTGGGCCCTGGGCAGCTAGGTCATCACGAGCCCCTCCGAGCCTGTGGAGCTGGCAGACCCAGGGCCAGCCTTAAGTGGCAGGGCCGAAAGGTTGCAGAGATCGAAGTCCTCCGCCACTGCCAGCTGCACACGTCCGTTGAGGCCCCTCCTGCTGGGCTCCAGGAAGACCACGTGCTTGTGGACGCTGGCCTTGCGGCTGGGTGCATCTGGGGGTGTGGTGCTGAGCACAGAGGACTGCGCGCTCAGCTCCTGGAGTGGGCTGGGTGCTCGGGGCCACCGGCGGCCACGGCAGAGCTGGCGGCGGCAGCAGCAGGGGCAGCAGCCACGGCAGGGCGGTGCAAACAGGTAGAGCAGCACGAGCACCAGGCCCACAGCGCAGCCCAGCAGCGTGGTGAAGCCGGTGTTGAAAGCCTCGGGCTCCGGGTGTGGAAAGTGCACGCTGACGTTGTACTCCAGCGTCTGGTTGTGGTGCAGGTGGGGCCCGGTGGCCAGGCACACAAAGATGCCTGCGTGCTGCTGCTGCACGGTGCGGATGGCTAAGCTGCCGTCCGCCAGCACTGCGATGCTGCCATCGTGGGATCCTGGCGCCAGGAGCAGCTCGTGCTGCGGGGAGACCCAGGTGATGCTCACGGCCGGGGCGCTGGTGTTGCAGTAGAGCCTCAGGGACCCACCCACCTGTGCGTGTAGCTGCTCCTCGGGTTGCTCCAGGCCCACGGCGGGGGCTGCTGAGCAGTTCTCGAAGATGCGGCTGTGCTCAAAGAAGCGCACGCCAGACGCGGGCACCTTGAAGGCGAGGCATGTGTACTCGCGGGCGAAGTCGCGCACGGCCCGCAGGCCCCGCTGGTGCCAGCGCTGCAGCAGGTGGTAGAGGCGGCAGTCACAGGGCAGCGGGTTGTTGTGCAAGTAGAGCCCATTCTTGAGGAAGGCCGGCAGTGCGGCCAGCTCCGGGATGGCCACGAGCCCCAGCTGGTTGGAAGAGAGGTCCAGAGTGCGCAGGTGCGTCGTGCCCAGGCCGTGCAGGTGCTTGAAAGAGAAGGAGGAGAGTTTGTTGTAGCCCAGGTAGAGGCGGCCAAGCGCTCGCAGGCCGTGGAAAGCGTGCGCGTCTAAGTGCGCTAGACGGTTGTTAAACAGAAGCAGCGTCTCCAGCGCTTCCAGCCCGTCGAGATCGTGGCGGCCAAGCGCCCGCAAGGCATTAGCTGACAGGTCGAGCAGCCTCAGGCGGCTGGCGTTGCTGAAGATGCCGCGACCCAGCGCGTCCAGCTCGTTGTGGCTCAGGTGCAGGGCGCGCAGCCGGGCGAGCGGCGCTAGCCAGCCCGGGCGGAGGCGCCGGAGCGCGTTGTGGCTCAGATCGAGGTCTTCAGCAGCCGAAGGTACCGTGGCTGGCACGTCCTGCAGCCCGAGGCCGGCGCAGCTCAGCAGATTGGCAGCGCAGACGCATTTGTAAGGACAGTGGCGGAGAGCAGGGGGCGGGAAGCCCTCAGAATCTGGGGTGCCTAACCCGAAGCGCAGCACGCACAGCAGCGCGCCCGGCAGCGCCACCCAGGCCATGGCAGCGACCCGCCGATGGGGCGCGGTAGCTCTGTGCAGTCGCAGCTCTGGGACTCACCCCCTTCTACGCGGGCTCAACATACTGGTCCCTGGTGGCCCAGGGAGAAGGGGTGCTGTAGCGGGCCCGCCTCAAGCGGCCGACAGAGCTGAGCAGGGCCACCCCGGTTCCGCACACCCTCCACCTCCCGTCCTCCGGGCGCGTCCCGGTCCGCGGCTAAATACTGGCTGAGGGGGCGGGGCCAGGGCTCCCATTGGCTACCGCCTCAAGGGGCGGGGCGGAGGGCGGCCGCGGCTGAGCCCAACGCGGCCGCCAGGGGGCGAGGCCGGCCCCGCCGTCCCGGGCTGCTCTGGGCTGGTGGCCTTGTCCCCCGGAGAAGTAAAAGGAGTCCGGAGATGTTCGCGCTGTTGCGGCTGCTCGCATTCTTTATTTGATGTGAACTTTGCTATCTTACGACTGCACCGTCCGCCCTTTAAACGGGTAACCTGGTTATGCAGGACCTCACTGGGCTCCACGACTTAAGGCCGGCAAGCCGCAGAGCAGGAGGGTGCGGGGCGGGAAGGTGGGGTCCGGACTGTCTCAGACTCCCTCCCGGCAGCCCCAAGCCGCCCCAGCCTCTCACACCTTCCCCGTCTAGGACAGAGAGGGCCACGTCGGTGCTCCTGGCTGACCCCTGCTTCCAGCTGCGCTCCATATGCTATCTCCTGGGGCAGCCAGAGCCTCCAGCCCCGGGGACCGCCCTGCCCGCCCCGGACCGGAAGCGCTTCTCTCTGCAGAGCTGTAAGTGGGCCTGGGCTGAGTCAGAGCGGGGACTGCTGGAGCGCAGGGTTCTCGGAACAGCGAAGGCTGGAAATACTGGAGACACCAGGTTCTAGGGCCGCACCCGGCCTGACGGCACCTCCCGCCCACCCAGACACAGATTATATCAGTGCCGAGGAGCTGGCCCAGGTGGAGCGGATGCTGGCTCATCTGACCTCCGCATCCGCCCAGGCGGCGGCCGCGTCCCTGGTGAGTGGGCCGCAGCGGGGATCCACGCCGTGAACCTGTGTGCACACGTAGGTGTCGGGCCCGACCCCAGCCCACCTGCGTGCTCCTCCCTTAGCCCACGAGCGAGGAGGACCTCTGCCCCATCTGCTACGCCCACCCCATCTCCGCCGTGTTCCAGCCGTGCGGTCACAAGTCCTGCAAGTAAGTGGGCCCCGCGGGCTTGAGGGCGGGGCGCTGGGCACGCAGGGAGTCCTCACCCCTTGCGTTGCAGAGCCTGCATCAACCAGCACCTCATGAACAACAAGGACTGCTTCTTCTGCAAAGCCACCATCGTGTCTGTAGAGGACTGCGACAAGGTAGCAAATACAGGCGCCACCTCCTCGGCCACCTAGGCCTGCCTAACCCACCTGACTCCAGCCCCAGGCCGAGCCCTATTTATGCGCTGCCCTCCCCGCCCGCACCGCCGCGTCCGGTCTCCTCCTCACCCGCCGGCAGCTCCTGGCGGGAGCCCAGCCATAAGCCTAATTATGCCTGCACTTGACTTTCAGTCAGGGCCACAGTGAGCATTAAATTATTATTGTGTACACCCCTGGCCACAGCCCTTCTTGGGGGAGTGGGGTTTCTGGGTGCGTCCCGCAGGGGTGCTGCCGGTTGTGTCCGCACGGGAGGGCAGGGGGCCTGCGGCCCTTCCGCCTTGCCTACCCCTCGGCAGACGCACAGCACCAAGTCCGGGCCCCGGGTGCGCCGGGCCACTGCTCCTGCGGGCGGGGCCTCACATGATGATGCGGGGCTCCGGCACCGACTCCCCGATAGACTTGTGGGGCAGCACGCTGGCTCCGTTGAGGTAGAGCTCGTCATTGACAATGACGTCCTCGCCCAGGACGGTGACGTTCTCCATGCGCACCTGGGGCGGGAGGCGGCGTCACGTGACGAGGCGTCCCGGCTGTCCCCCCCCCCCAACCCCCCGGCCTGGTGTGCGGCTCACCCACTGGCCCACGCGGCAGCGCCAGCCCACGATGCAGGACTCCAGCCAGGAGTGGGAGCAGATGTGGGCGTCGCGCAGCACCGTGCACCGCCGGATGCACACGCCGTCCTCCACCACCACTCCCGGGCCCAGGCTCACGTTGGGGCCGATGCTGCAGTTGCGGCCAATGCGGGCACTTGGGTCCTGAGGGCCAAAGGGGGGAAATGCCAGTGGACCCTTTGTCTCCCAAGACTCAAGGGCTTAATGATGGGTTGGTCGGAAGCCTCACCACGAGCACATTGCCCACAATGCCAGGGCCCGAGTGCAGTCGCTCAGGCTGCTTCTGCCTCAGTGACTGCAGGAAGAGGCACATGCCGGTCAGGAAGTCCTTGGGCTGCCCAATGTCCATCCAGAAGCCTGCAGGAAGGGTTGCATCAGGAGGCTCAGCCCGGCCACAGACCACCCCCTCCCTGTGGCCTCCCCGCCTCACCCTGCAGCTCCATGGCATATAGCTGGCCCTCCTTGGCCATAACAGGGAAGACCTCCTTCTCAATGGATGTGGGCTGCAGCTGTGGGAGTGGGCAGCTTGTGAGCAGGGCCAGGGCGGCGGGCGGCCCGTCCCACCCTCGCCCACCCGGCAGCTCTGCCCCACACACCTGGATGCGCCGCAGCGCCGCAGGGCTCAGGATGTATATGCCTGCGTTGATCTTATTGGACACGAACACCTGTGGCTTCTCCACAAAGCGGTGAATGCGGCCTGTGTCTGCCTCACACACCACCACACCGTACTTCGAGGGCTCCTCCACCTTGGTCACCTGAGCACAGGGCACCCTCAGGGCTGGCCCAGTGTTCCTGAGCCGTGCCACACATCCTGTCCCCAGTCTTGGGGACTCGGCCTCAGAAACTTAAAAGGCATACAGGGTACTGCACAACCCCACATTTGAAACAGAGGGTAAGGAGACAGCTTAAGGGTGGCGGGCTGGGGAGGCTGGGCAGAGGCTCGGAGTGTCAAAGCTCTTACCAGGATGGAGCCTTCCTGGCCGTGGTGCCGATGGAACTGCACCATGGCTTGGAAGGGGAAGTCGCAGGTCACGTCACTGTTGAGGACGAAGAAAGGGTCTGCAGTCTCGGTGAGCAGGTCACGGGCCAGTGCCAGCGGCCCAGCTGGAGAAAGCGGGCAGGTCACCGCCTTGCTGGGGTCCAAGGCACCAGGCCCCACCCAGGCTGGCTCGAAGCCTTTTCCTGGCCCTAAACCCTTACCAAGGGACCTTCTTGTCTCCACTGACCTGTCCCCAAAGGTTCCTCTTCATGAGACATGGAGATTCGGATTCCCAACTAGAAGGGGGAAGCCACGACATCAGGCTCTACTTCCAGGGCAGGAAGTCGAGCGGGGACCAAGGGAAAGGGCCGACTCCGCGCCTCACCCTCTGCTCCTGCGCCTTCATTTCCTTCTCCAGCACTTGAGACATGTAGCTCACGGCCAGGATCACGTGATCCACGCCTGCCTGGACAGAACAACACGGGCCGGCCGACCGGCTCAGCCGGGAAGCGCTCGCTCCCAACGGCTGGTCGTCCCGGCCCCGCAAGGTCAGAGCCCGGAACTCACCGCGGCGAGCGCCTCCACTTGGTGCAGCAAGATGGGTTTGTTGCAGAAGTCCACCAGCGGCTTCGGGATGCTCAGCGTCAGCGGCCGCAGCCGCGTCCCATAGCCGCCCACTAAGATCAGAGCCTTCATCGCGCCTGCGAGGGCCGGGAGTCAGTGCCCGCGCGCACGGCCGGCCCTGCCGCGCACCTCCGCCGCCGCGCCCCACCCACGCCCCTCGCCAGCCAGACGGGCCGCCGACTCGGCTCCAGCGTGTCCTAACCAGAGCCAGGAAGCACCGAGGGCCGGGAACTCGGGCCCACTCGGCAGCGGCCGGGGGCGGGGCCGTGGCGGGCCAATGGGCTGCCGGCTACGTGGCACGGCCAGGGCGTCGGGGCGCCGGGTGCGGCGCTGCGCCAGACGTAGCCAATGAGAACCCGGCGCGCCAGGCTGCTATGGGAACCCGGATAGGGACCCGCGAGTCAGCTGCCCATTGGTGGATCCAAAGGCCGACTGGCGCCAAGAGCGCGGCCATCTCCCTACCGCGGCTGGGTCCCAGACAGCCACTTCCGGCCAGCCCCCGCCCCCTCCGCGCCGACCCAGAAGTGGGGTGAAAGGAGGGGCCCGGGACGTCAGGGGTTGCCAGCCGCCTCTGGCCGGTTTCCCTGGAAACTGGGATTTCCTCCAAAGACTCAGACACACTTCGTTGCTAGCGGCTTTATTTTGACATACGCGACCTCAGACACAAGCGGGGTGGGCAGCGCCGGGTGTACAGAAGGGTGGGCTCGGCCCGAGCACCCCTCCCCGACACGCAAGGTCTGGAGAACGAACCGCCGAGGCGTGGCCGGAGCCACGTGCTGTCACGGGGCGCAGGCTTCGGCGGGGTGGAGACTCGACCTCCGGAGAGAGGGCCGGATTCCCAGAGTGCGAGGTTCCAACACTTCCCGGAGAAACAGAGCAACCAGGTCCCTCCCAGGGTTCTCCGTATTTTTCTCATTTTTGAATCGGCAAAAACCACCAATGGTACAGCTGCAAAGTTCAAAGCAATCTGCGTCTAGGAAACGTGCACGTAGCCAGGTGAGAGCGTGAGCGGCGGCCGACCTAGCCCTGGCCCCGGCGGGAGTCACGCCCACTGCACGGGGCGGGAGGAGCGGGTCCCGGCAAGTTGCACACCTGTCCCCTTCCTCCTGAGCACCACCCTCCCCGTGCCACTCCCCCACCAGCGGGGCCTGGTGCCGGGGGAGGATGAGAGGCGGGGCGGCCGGGACGCCCCAACCCATGATCCCATTCTGCACTTTGGTCCCAATTTGGGGCTAGGAAGGCCGGGGCCTGCCGAGGGTCGGGGTGCTGTAGCCTGGGACCGAGAAGGAACAGGGCCGCCGGTGTGTGCGCACTCACGCCGGCCCCCAGCCATCCGGGCTGGCTCTCTGGCTATCCAAAGGGCTGAAAAGGGGTCCTGTGCGGGCCGCAGCAGCAAACCCCAGCCCTCCCACTCTCAGTGCCGGGAGAACGTGGATTATAAATGGATTTTAAACTCTCCCTGCTGTGAGGGCGGCTCCCGGCACCGGGACCTGGGGGAGGAACCACACATCCCCAGGCGGTCTCAAGTGGCCCTGGACCCGCGGTCCTACCCACTTTCTGCACTGCCTTCATGGCCCAAGCCACAGAATGATAAAGGAAAGGTGGTTACTGACCAGAGAGGCAAAGCTGCGCCTCCCAGCCCCAAGGAACAAACCCTGCTGGCCGCCGGCCCCGCCAGGGTCACAGGGTTGGGGGGGGGGCGCTCTATCAAGGAACCCATTTGAGAGGGAAGTTACTCCAGCGGTTACGAAGGCCTCTCAGACCCAGGTTTACTTTCGAAGCCAAAACAGGGACATGTCAAGTGACACCATCAGTGACCCTATGCTGGAGAGGGGCTCACTTTGGCAATGGCCAAGCACAGAATCACCTGCCGGCCACCTGTGTTACAGGTAGCAAGTCTCCGTGCCACTAAGGGCCAGCAGCAAAAATCACTGAACAGTGAGAGCCTGAGCCCGTACTGCCTGCTGTCAGTGTCGAGGGCCACACTGCAGGCCCCCAAGAAAGGGCACTGGAGCAGCAGAGAAACACTGCCTAGAGCTCATGCTACCAGGTCCTTTTAAAAAGGCAGCACCTGCTGCAGACGGCCAAAAGCTCACCTCAGAAATGAGAAAGAATATTTTGCTGAGGGTAGCATGAAAGAAATCGGTATGGACTAACAAGCAAGGCTTGTTTCACCCCATGAAACAGGGTGGCATGTGGACACACGGACAGAATGACGGACCCCAGGGTTAATCCGACAACGCTCTCATCAGCAGAATCTGGGCACCTGCACCCAGGATCCAGTGTCCCTAAAAGCAGACAACCTTGAAGTTCTCCCTGCAGGCCCAGGGCCTAGCATGCCTCACAAAGGGCTGCCTGCCTTGAGCTTGGCCTGGGAAAGTTCGAGACCCTGAGCGGACCACAGCCCCTGAGCCCTGAAGGAGCGCCCATCCAGAGGAGGAAGCCTCCCACCCACAGCACGAGAACTGCGAATACTGTCTGGAACACAGGCCCGAGGCCTCCTGGGCCTCACAGATCACGCCTGCTCAGTGAGGCAGGCGGGAGCCTTCTCAGGCGAGGGATCTTGGCGAGAGGCTGCTGGGACTGTGGGCAGAGGAGCAGCTGCTCAGATATCCATGAGTGACTGGGGAAACAGGGCCTGTTCCCTGCCATAAGCTGGCTTCAGCGCAGCTTCATGAACCTAGGCCCATGCCAGCAGCAGACCCAAGAAAGGCGGGCCCAGCTGTGTGCCGTCAGTTGCTACTCATGCTCACAGCACAAGGCTGAAAAGCCCCGGAGAGTGGGGCACCCAAGCCCTCTACTTCCGAGGAACCGGATGAGTACGGACGGACCCTGCGCCAGCCCAGGGTTCTGCCCCACCGTCAGCAGGGCCCTGCAGCCACAGATCCCGAAGGCCAAGGCAAGAGAAACGGAAGTCCCATGGTATTCTGACTGCCACCGAGCCCACCAGGGGCACGCCTCCCTTCCTAAGAGGGCCTGGACACAGGAGCCATGAAGCTAAGAAGCCTGGCTGGGAAAGCAGATGTTCCGCCTTCCTTCACTTTATATATATGGATTCCAGGCTACAACTAAAAACATTTCTTTTAGTTTACACCAAAGAGAAATATAACCCTTTAAAAGTAAGTCTGTGTGTCCTCATGGCAAGTTCAGAGCAATGGTCCCTGCCTGCGGGTGGAGAGGAACGGGTACTGGGGGCCCGGAAGCGGGCCTACTGGTTCTCGTCTCGCATCTGTTCCATGATGCTGATGAGATTCTCCAAGCCAAACACATAGCCTCTGTCCGGCCCGTCGTGCACAGTGGGGTCATCCCGGAAGCCCTTGAAGGTGCTGTGTGCGAAGTCAATCATGCGGACATCCACTTTGGGTGGACAGGAGGGACCCGCCTCTGGGTTGATGCCGCTGGGGCTAGGGCTGGGGCCGCCGGGCGGTGCCACCTCAGGAACCCCCATGTCCAGGTGCTTGAGACGCAGGTCAGATCGGCACTCCTTGCCATCGTAGATGACAAGCAGAGAACTGGAATAGAAACGGTAGGAGGCCTGCCGCTCCAGCACAGCTTTGAGGCCTCGGAGTTTGCTTAAGATAGGCTCAAAGAGGTCACGTCGCAGGTCCAGCCCGTTGTGCAGGTACTGATAGAGGGCGTTGCGGAAGCCTTCGATGGACAGCCCACGGCCGTAATACTTGTTCCTGCAGAGGTAATGGCCCGTGTCCAGCTGGTACACCTGAAATCCCAGCAAACAAGACAGGGTGAGCACTGGGGAGTCTGATGACCTCAGCAGTGTCTGGGCACTGACCAAGCTGAGCTTTTCTGCTCCTCCACCTGGAGCAGAGCAGGCCACGCTCACCCTGGCTTCCCCACTATAGAACTGCGACGCCAGTACTGGGCCCACAGCAACACCTGCGGTGCTGTCCTCCTCACCCCCCTAACTAGGAGCACGCTGCACACACAACAGCCTTCCTGGTCCCAGAGTGGAGCCTGCAGGCTCTCACAGCGGCTGCGATCAGGCCAAGAGGGCTCAGAGGACAGGGGGGCTCAGAGGTCACACTTGCGGGGGTGTGCTCAGCACCCCAGGGAGACTCACCCTCTCGGAGCAGATTCCAGAACAGTGGGGCCAGGAGGGCGAGCAACCTAAAACACACAGGTGGCAGCCCCGAGGCTGGCACCAGCGGTGACTCACCTGCATGCCACAGACCCTGACCCCCAGAGTGGCAGACGTGCTCTGCTCGCACTTCCTCATCTGCCGGGCCGCCTTCTCGGCCGACGCGTCGTCCCCGTGCTGCCGGGTGCCCATCTTCAGGTCCAGCACACAGGGGTACTTGAAATGATGAACCACGTTCTCAAGCAGGAGGAACTCTGGGCCGGGGTCAAGAAGAACGACAGCCACACTTGCCACCAGCCCCACCCACAAAGGCGTCTGCAAAAGGGGCTCTCGAGTCTCACGGAGACCGCGGTGGCCTCACGAGCTCTCCCATGTGGCTGCACACTTCCAGCTGATTATTTCTTTACACAATGCTTGTGACAAAACAGACTTTACCATTTTGGCCACTTCTAAATATATTCAGTGGCACCGAGCACATTTACACTGTTGCACAATCATCACCACCATCCGCCTCTGGAATTTTCACCTTCCCAAGCTCACACTCTGTCGCTGAGTGAGTCCCCATCTCCACTCTCCGGAGCCCCAGGAAGCAGACACACTACTACTTCTCTCTAGGAGGTTTTGTGTTTAAGGAATCTCATACCAGTGGAATCATTCAGCGTTTGTCCTTTTAAGCCTGATTTATTTCACTTAGCAAAACGTCTCAAAGGTTCATCCATGTGTAGCATGTATCAACTGCATTCCTTTTTTATGGATATATGTATCTCACATCAATTCATTATTTTAAAAAAATTCTGTATGTTCTTTTTTTTTTTTGAAGAAGTCTCAGTATGCAGCTCAGCCTGGCCTCGACCTCACTTTGTAGCCCAGGCTGGCCTCGAACTCACAACTGCTCTCAGCCTCCCGAGTGCTGGGATTACAAGCATGCGCCATTACACCCGGCTAAAAAAATTCTTTAGATTTACCTTGCAGAGAGTAAATTAAAGATGTGGCAGATCTGAATACATCCCAGTCACCATCAGTAAACCAGCGCCCTACTCATTCCTCACCCAGCTCTAATCAGGAAGGCTTATTTGCACCACTACCACCAAAACCAAGAATTCAGATTCTAACATTCCCAATAGAAATTTTTACTTTTTATTTTTAAAGTATTTTTTCCCAATAGGAATTTTTAGAAAATGCTGGATTCCAGCATCTGTCGGGGGCTGGGGGTGTATAGCTCAGTGGTTAAGTGCCTAAGATGCATAAGGTCCTAGGTGCAATCTACCCAATAAAGAAAATCTACCCTATAATTTTCTCACTAAATCTATTTTAATTAACAGACTTTATAGACATCCCACAACACTGTCCTAGACTGTCAATTTTGTTGCTTTGCTTTTGCAGACCAGCTTGTGCTATGTAGCCCAGGCTGGCCTCCAACTCGCTGTGATCCTACGCCAGCCTCCCCAGTGCTGGGATTATAGGAGTGCACCATCATGCCCGGTTCTGTCAAATCTTAAGCTTCCGCCTTACCATGTTCAAAAGGAGAAAAAAACATGTTAATGAACATAAAAGAAGAGGAATCTATGAAAAGTGGAGATGAAAACGAAGAGGGGTCCCCGGACAGAGAAGGACCTCAGTGAGGTCTGGAGGGAGCCCCAGGAGTGACGTGCTGAAGCCGGGCAGAGGAGGATACTGTAGAGCTTCCGGTCCTTGGACTCCGAGCGCATTCGGCTCAGCTGCTGCTTGTGGCAGCGCAGGCTCCAGGGGTTATGGCTGATCTTCTCAGAACTCAGACCGCTGTTGCCGTCTAGCATCTGGAAAGGCACATCCGAGTGGCTGTGAAGCTCCACCTTCAGACTCTTTGCCTCCTGGGGGCTAAGAAGGAAGAACACAGACATCACTAAGAGACCCGGGCAAGTCACCCTTGGGGACAAAGGGCAGAGGAGGGCTGGAGCAGCCTCACCCGCTACCCACAACCCTGCTGACAGGTGGCACAGGGGCCGCAGAAATGCGAGCCAATAAAAGTGAGCGAACAGCGTGAGTAGTGATCTTCCCGCGTCTTGGAAAACTGGCTGGAAAATAATTATTTGTGATAAACTGCATGATGGAAATACTACAGTAAGTCTCTGACTTATGAACATTTGAGTTGTGAACTTTCAGACACAAACAGACCTCACATTATAAACATCTGTAGATGCAAAAAAATCATGGTAGTAGTTCACATGTCTGCCAGACGTCATCACAGTTACGCTGTGTGCGCTTACGGCACTGTGCGACAGGGTCTCACTACGCAGTTCAGGCTGGCCCTGCGCTCACTTTGTAGCCCAGGATGTTCTTGAACTTGCAACAATCCTCCTGCCTCAGCCTCCCAAGTGCTGGGATTACAGGCATGTGCCACCACACCCGGCATGTACCACCATTTTAAGGTAACTGTAAAAGTAAAAATATTTTATTTACAGTATTATGGGTGTTTTTAATGCTTTACACTGTGTATTTGTGTCAAAGGTGTATGAGACTCATTTTATCAGACTTACAGACGAACCTGACTTACATTCTCCTAGAATGGAAGTGGACAGAACTCGCCCTTACAGGGCCTTGCCACACCGCCCGTCCACTAGGACTGCTAGCATCAAAATAAAAATACTGCAACAGCACTGCCCAGGAGGTGAAGAAGAAGCTGGGACCCTCCTACACTACTGGCAGGAAGGTAAAATGGTGCCACCTCTATGAAAAAGGCTGCTGTTCCTCACAACCTTCAACAGACCGGGTGTGCTGGGGGTGCCTGTGGCCACTCAGGAGGTGAAGGCTTAAGCTTAGAATTTGGAGGCCAGTTGTGGCCTTACAGTGAGACCTGTGTCTCCCTCCAAGAAAGTACACACACACACACACACACACACACACACACACACACACACACACGAAATAACCTGGGTATGGGGGTACACATTTGTAATCCTAGCATTCTGGGGAAGCTGAGGCAGAAAGATCACATATTTCAGCACATCTGGGCAACTTAGTGACTAGTAAGACTCTGTCTCAAAGTAAATTAAAAAAGAGGTTGAAGATGTAATTCAGTGTAAAGGCCTGGGTTCAGTCACCAGTATTAAAAAAAATTAAACTGGTTATTTTATAATGTGAAAATTTTATGACAATAAAAATAGCAGAAAAGGTGATGAAGGCACAGTGTCACACAAAACAAACATGGGAACAACACGGATGCCACTGTCAAGGACCCGAGTGACTGTCCTGCCTTCACCCACAACACCTGGAAGCTAGTTTTAGTAAGATGTTAAAAAGCGCGCGCGGACCTCACGTTTACGAGCCGCCTGTCTGCGCATCAGGTCTGGCAGGAGGAGAACACCACGGGAGAGAGCCGGACCGTCTCCTCCGAGCGGATCGGCAGGCTCCCAAAATACTTACGTCTCTCAGAGTTAGACGTGTGCCTATGGAAACCACAGTCATTTAAGTGAGAGAATTTTATTTTTAAAATAAGTCAAACCACAAAGGGGTTTTGGCAGGAAGGTGACTAATTAAAGATACTGAAAGTCTGCCACGATGTGGCAAGGCTCCAACAGAAAAATCTTTGCTTGAAATAACCGGCAATACTGCTCTTCACGCTGACAAGCCCAGGAAAAGCACATCCCTGCTGAAGCCACTTCCTGGATGCCGGAAGTGAGCTGCAGCTCCCAGCCCGGCAACCTCGAATTCGCCCTCCACACTCGGGCCCCGCAACTGCTAGCCTTCCTTCCACCGACTGAGACAAGCCAAGGCTCAAGCTGACCAGAGGGAGTGTGTGCCGCAACCTTCCGCCTTCCCCCGGGCTCAGGTGTGGGAAGCTCTGTGGCGCAGGCTGCGCCCTGACAGGGACCACATCTCTACTGGAACTACACAGCCACCAACGCCTGACAACACCTTCGCTTTCTTCTGGGAAGGGTGCTGCTGAGGCTGTCACACACGCCTTTCTTGCGATTCTCTTTAGAAAACTGTGAAGCTGACTGATTTGCTAAGTACATCCAAACAAGCTCTCCGGTTGGGGCCCTGTGGCACCTGGCATCACCCTTGATGTGTTCTCCCTGCCCCTGGTGAAGAACTGGGCTCCACCCTGGCGTGACTTAGTTTCTGCTAAGTGGCCAGAGAGAAACCCATTTCCTGTGAGCAGGTACCCACAGGCCACGGCTGTGAACCTAGACCCAAGGTTTTTATTTTTGAGACAGGTCTCACCACACAGTCCAGGCTGGGCTTGAACTCACAGTCCCTTAATGCTGAGATTACCGATGTCAGCCACCGCACCCAGCTGCAAGACCTTGACATTAGTCAGTTCACTTGCTTCTCACCGGATGACCCACGAGACAAGCTCTGTACCATGGAGGACACAAGAAAGCCCATTCGAAGAGCTCTGGGAGAGAACCCTCGACTGCCAGCTACAGCCGTGGGGACCATTCCGTGACCACAGTCACCAGTCAGGAGGAAAGTGCGGGGGTGCACTGCCAGTGCTTTTGCAGGCTGCAGCTCACCAGCCACGAAACGCTCATCCTCCGGAGACGCTGTGGCCTCGTCACAGGTGGCTACGTAGCCCCCTCCTTGCATCAGATACAGCGCTGGCCGCTGAACAAGGACACAGAAACAACATGCTGCACAATCGGCCGGAGTTCTAGTGGTGTTCTGTGCCCCCTGGCACGGGAGAACAGTAACTGAGGAGAGCGGGCATGTCCTGGGCTCTCGGAACGAGTGTTCTCAGAGTGCTCTTGAGAGCGGGCCGGGGAACTGCTCTCATGTCAAAGATGACCTCTGTACCGTCGCAGGAAGAAAATCCCCAAATTCCAAGTTGTGCCCTTTTTTGTTTTTGGCTGTGCTGGAGACTGAACTCAGGAGCTCACATGCCAGACAAGCACTCTGCTACTGAGCTACACCCACCGACCCCAGTGCGAACTTCTGAATCAAGTCCTAGAGCTTATTATTCATGAAACTTACTTTTAAATGAAATTAAAGTTATTTAGTTGTATAGTTTTTATTTCATCTTGATATAGGAAGTTCACATTAATTTTCTTATTTTTACCATTCAGTGGCCTTTCAGTATACTCACTAGGTTGTAAAGTATCACTCTACCTAATTTTTAGTGTTTTCCTCACCCTAAAAGCAAACCTCATCCCATGAGCAGCCGCTCCTTACTCCCTACCACCCCGAGCCCTGACCACTACAGAACAAGCACTATGCTGCTTTTTCTATCTATGGCTTTGTCTATTCTGTACTCTATCCAACAGAAGCACACAGCATGTAGTCTTCTGTATCTGGCTTCTTCCACTTGATGTTGAGATTCATTTGTGCTGTAGCTTCCTTTTTATGACATGGTATGAACATACTACATTTTGTTTATCCACTCACCAGATGAGGGGCACATTCTGGCTATTGGGGATAATGCTAAGAATGTTTGTGTACAAGTTTCATGTGGATGTATGTATTCAATTCTACTGGATGCATGTCTAGAAGTTAACTGCTAGGTTTCACGTTTTTTTGGAAGACAGGGTCTTGATATGTAGTTCAAATTGGTCTCAAACCCACGGTGATCCTCCTGCCTCAGCCTCCTGAGTGCTGGGATGACAGGCGTGTGCCACCATGCCCAGCTCCAAGGTTTCACTTTTTGAAGCAATGCTGAATTGTTTTCGAAGTGGCTACACCACTTTATATCCACCAGCAAGGTAAAAAGGTTCCTATCTCCACATCCTTGTCATTACTTTTACTGCCATCCTTTTAATGAGACCTGCTGTAGTGGAAGCTCACATTAATTTCTGCATGAAATATCAAGCAGCATAATTCTTTTTCTTTTCCTTTTGCAATACTGAGGATCAAACCTAGGGCTTTTCTACTGAGCCACGTCCCCAGCCCTTTTTTGTTTTTGGAGACAAATCTCACTAATTTGCCCAGGCTAGGCTCAAACTTGCAATGCTTAGGCCTGTCTCCCAAAGTGCTGGGACCACAGGCATGTGCCACCACACTCGGCTGGCATAATCGCTTATAAAGATTATTTTCCTCATTGTGATGAAAATCAGTTCCTAAGTGCAATGAAAGGATCAGTGATAGCAGATTCTCAGAGGCTACACGAGACTACAGACTGTGATGGCCGTGGGCTGCACACCCGACAGCAGGGGTGCCAAGCCTATCACACACATGGTATGACGTTTTTCTTTTAAAACAAAAGATGTTAATGCATGGGTTGTTTTTCTAAACTGAAGCCTCAGTATTCAGGTTTAAGTGCAGTGTTGGTGCTTCGTGACAATTAAGTGGCTTTGGGGTTGCAGCTTGGCCCTCCGTCTCTAAAAGGTTTGCCATCGCTGCCCTAGAGGGTAGAAACCAATCTCCTTTTTTAAAAAAACAACAACAACAAAGACAAACCTAGGGCATGCTGAGCTATATCCCTACCCAAACCCATTTTTCCCCAGAGTTAGGCTCTTGCTAAACTGCCAGGCTGGTCTCCAACTTTCAACCCTCTTGTCTCAGCCCCCAACTAGCTAGGATGACAGGAGTGTATCACACACCTAGCCAACCTTTGTGAGTATGGGACAGCTTCCCCAGAGCTCAGAGAGCTTCAGCTTCTCCCAACTACTTTCAACCACACCAGAAAGAACCATTATTAGGGCGATATAACACACAGGGGAAGCCGTGTCTATAAGGGTGACCCCAGAACTCCAGCTACCCTTAACTTTGGGAAGTGCTTCTCCAGGGTGTGTCAGGACCCTAAGATGTTCCGTGTGCTTGTGCCAGCAAGATGACACCCACGTCTACACTCTGGTCCCCACCGCTTACCTCTCAGAGGTCTCAAGGGACAAGGTGGCTTTCTCCTCCTTGTGGTCGCTGCCACTGCCTGACCGATGCAGGCTCCGGCGGGAATGTTTGCGCCGAGGTTGCTCCCGTTCTGGTGCCTCATCCTGCTCCATGGTCTCACTTTCCACATAAGGGTAGGCCACCAAATTGATGTAACCATCACTGTCCCCCTCAAAACAGACAGATACCACACCTGTTAAAAAAGGAGGAGCCAGTTCAGTCAACAAAATGTCAACACAGGCTGAGTCTACACAGCACACGCTGGCACACTTCTGCAGGGTACACAGGCGCCGGCTGCCCGGGACCAGCTGCAGACTGAGGCAGGAGCAAAGCCAGCAGACAGCATCTCCCCAGAAGACAGAGGACCAGTCCTCCTTTCTGAGTCTGCTCTTTACCTCTGGCTGTACTTGGGCAGATCTCTCTCCCCTGGCCCTTGCAGCTACAGCTATTGATCTCTGCACTCTAACAATAAGCTATTCTCTAGGTGACATCCACACCCGACATACATTAACTTATGTAACAGTGCTGCCACTTCCTATGTCCTCCTTTGGATCTGGTTTCCTTCTGCTTGACAGGGTCCCCTAAAGAGACCTCAGTATTTTTCTGTCCATGATGATCCACCTCGACCTTCCGCACTGGCATGTCTAAGATGGAACGCCTTCCTGTTTTTCCTGCCATATCCATGGAAACTCTATGTGTCCACTGTTGTCTGAAAGGCTGGGTACAACTTCTTCTGGGTCATTACCACTGGAGTTAAGGAATACTTATGTATCTGTGCTACATTTCTTCTTTTGTCTTCTTGGCGCACACAATTGGCTCTATAATCTGAAAATTATTGAGATTCATTTATGGGGCCAGGAATATAGCTCAGGGGCACAGCGCCTGCCTGGCAAGTGCAAGGTCCTGAGTCTGATTCCCAGTACCACCACCCCCCCCGCAAAAAAAGAGACAGAGAGAAAGATGCATTTATTTATTTAAAGATGAATGCATTTATTTATTTAAAGATGAAATTATTCTTTTTTTTTTGGTACCGGGAATTGAACTCAGGACCTCACACCTGCCAGGCAGGCGCTTGGGCCACTGAAGCACATCCCCGGCCAAAGAGATGCATTTATGAATGTCACTACGCTAGACCAAACACATTCTTTTTGACCCATTGTTTTCTCTAGATGGACACTGCCCTGATCCTTGAGTTATCTTTTTTTTTTCAACCTTAAATGAGTAATTTTATTTCTATTTCTTTTATTTTAAAGAGAAAAAAAAAAACCCAAATTTCAAAACAAGATAATAGGAGGGTAACAATGGCTAATACATGGCATACTGTTATCTTTAAATTGGTTACTCAGAGTACAAGACATAGGCATTGAATTCTCGGAGTTGTTTTAGAAAAAAAATTCCTCCACCATCAAGACACTCTGGCTCCGTCCGTCCCCCTTACGTCGCACACACACTAGTGAACTCCAGGCCTTAGCCTGCACGTGCCCGAGTCTGAACGCGCACAGTGCAGCCCGCAGGCTTCCCCTCATGCTCCGTCTCCTGTCCCCAGCTCCCAGGCTGGGCTCTGCCCTGCTGCCGCTGACCCAGGAAAGGGCCATTCCTTGCACAAGCCACTACTCTTCCCCTCTTGATTTACCTGTGTGGCTGGACTATATCTTCAAGGAACCTCCCGTGAACCGGTGTCCAAGGGGCCAATTTCCCGAGTCCTTTGTTCCTGTGACAGTGTGGCTGAAGACAGAGTTCTATGTTTGCCAATTTACTTTTACTTCTGCTCTTCCAGCCTGGATGCCTCTGAACTGTTCAGACCCATCAGAAAGGTGGGATAAGACTGGAGAGCACAGACAACCCCTCCCGGGTGCGATCTTAGGAGAGCCATGGCTTCATCACCGTGCAGGGTACTACCGGCTAGATTCTTCAGGAGAGGGATGTTTCTATCTGTTCCTAGTTTGCTGAAAGTTTTGGTTGTTCTTGTTTTCTCAAGAACAAATGTCAGGGGCTGGGGATTTAGCTCAGTGGCACAGCGCCTGCCTGGCAAGTGCAAGGTCATGAGTTTGATTCCCGGTACCGGAAAAAAACCAAAAAAAAAAAAATTAAAAAAAAAGAACAAATGTCAAATGCTTTTTTAAATGTCTTTTTCAGTTTTTTGAGACAGGCTCTTGGTATGTAGTTCAGCCTGGCCTTGAACTGAACATGTACGTAAGCCTCCCTCGGACTCTTGGCGGTCCTTCTGTCTCAGCCTCCTGAGTGCTGGGACTGCAGGCGTGTGCCGCTGTGCCCGGCTTCCAACTGCTTCCTATGCATGTACCAAAGTGACCACATGGGTTTAAAAAAGATGGCCAATAGGCAAATTATACTGACAGACTTTTTTTTCCTTTATTTTTCTGGGACTGAGTCTTGCTTATATACGCCAGACCAACCTATAATCTTCAATCCTCCTGCCTCAGCCTCCAGTTGCGGGTTACCATTCCTAGCTTACTGATTTGACTTTTGAATGTTATACCAAACTTGCATTACTAGGTGGGCGTGGTGGACATGCTGGTAACCCCAGCACTCTGGGAGACTGGGAGACAAGTCAGGCCCAGCCTGCACAACTCTAGAAATTTAGAAAGGCCATCACTAGAAATTTAAAAAGGGCTGAGGGTGCAGTTCATTGCGGAGGCCCTGAGATTCATCTTTAGTACTACAAACACAACAAACAAAACAAACTTGGATCAGTCAGATAAACCCCACTTGGTCATGATGTGCATTATTATCCATTTAATATATCCTTGCATTCAAACCAGGTGTGGTGGCACACACCTATAATTCTAGCAGGTGGGAGCCTGAAGCAGGAGGATAGTTGTGAGTTCAAGGCCAGCCTGAGCTACACAGCAAGACCCTGCCTATACACATAGATCCATCCTTGGATTCAATCTGCTATGATTCTGTTCACATTTTTTACATTTAAGTTCAAGAGGGATATTTTATTTTCTTATAATAGCCTCACAGAATGATTTGGGAAGTATTCTTTTTTCAAAATTTTAGTGTAGAACTGATAATATTTCCTTATTAAATATTTGATAGAATTCACCAGTGAAAGCACCTGAGTGTAGAGTTTTCTTTGTGGAAATGTTTTAAACTCTAGTTCTAGTTTGTTTAATAGATATGGCTAATTAGATTACTCATTTCTTCATTTAAAATTTTTTTTTTTTTTTTGGTTTTTCTCTGGTACCGGGAACCGAACTCACGACCTTGCGCTTGCCAGGCAGGCGCTTTTGCCGCTGAGCTAAATCCCCAGCCCCTTAAAATTTTTTAATTACTACATGTTTATAGTACGAGCTCGGCGTGGTAGTGCATGCCTGTAATCTCAGCACTCAGGCAGGAGAATTGCTGCTGAGTTTGAGACCAGCCTGGGCTACAAAGTCAGCTCAAGGCCAGCCTGAACTGCATAGCGAGATCCTGTCTCAAAAAGACAAAAAAAAAAAAAAACAAAAAACAAAAACACCCTAAAAAACAAAATACATGTTTATAGTACATATGATTACCCTCATCCTTGGGAAATGGTACATAACACATCTTAGTTCCTTTTATTTCCCCTTTCTCTTCTATCTTTTTTTTTTAGCTTTGAGATGGGGTCTTGCTATAGAGTTCAGACTGGCCATAAACTCACTATGTAGCCCAGGATAGCCTCGAACTTGCAGCAATTCTCTTGCCTCAGCCTCCCAAGTGCTGGGATTATAGGTGTGCACAACCATGCCCATCTCATTTCTTCCTGAGTAAACTTTGGCAGTTAATGTGTTTCAAAAATTTTGTTGCCAGACTTGATAGCCCATCCCTGTAATCTCAGCTACTTAGGAGGCTGAGGCAGGAGTGTTGCAATGAGGGTAGCCTGGGCAATTCAGAAGACCCTGTTTCAGAATTTACCAAAAAAGAGCCGGGTAGAGATATCGCTCAGTGGTAGAATACGTGCTGGCATTAACATGCTCAAGGTCCTCGGTGCAGTTCGCAGTACTAAAAAAAGTAATTTGTCAATTTCATTTGATTTGTGAAATAATTACTGGCATAAAGCTCTTCAGAACATTTCTTTATCTGTTAACTACCAGCAGGCTGCAGGGATGACACCTCTTAGCATCCCGTGAGTAGAAGTTTTCTCTTCTTTTGCCAGATCAGTTTACCAGCGCCACAGCTCTCCTTAAAGCAACAGCCTTTGACCCTGGTTGTTTTCCAGTATCTCCACCCATTTTTCTGTTCAATTCTTTTCCCTTTTTTATTGACTTGTACAGGTTTTATATATGTGTACTAAAACACATACTATATAGTTTCTTTTCATTCTCATGTATTATATAAACGAGTCCTTTGCCTGTTACATGTATGTTTTACATGTCTTTCTGTGTTCATTTTCGTTAAAGGTATATTTTAGTGGGCACAAATTTTCAGTTTCCTATAGTCAGATATGCCCTCTCCGGGCATGGTGGCTCACGCCTGTAATCCCAGAGCTCAGGAGGGTAAGACAGGAGGGTCACAGGTACAAGCCCAGCCTGCGCAACTTAATGAGACTCTGTATCAAAGTAGAAAAAAGGGCTCTGGGTTGAATCCCCAGAACTGCGAAACAGAACGAACATCGCTCACTCCTTTTACAGTTAGCGCTCTTCTCTTCAACTCGGCAGGCCTTCTAGTGCTGTAACAGAAACGTTCGATGTGTTCTGCAACGCTTGCTGCTGAGCACCCCGGCAGACCCTAGCAGACCCAGAGAGTCACACCTGGTCAGAGGGCAAGTGCTGTGAGCAGGGCAGAAGAGGCCTTTCCAAGAATAAGCAAGATCTTGTCGTTAAACTAGTCATGTAGTCTTTTAAATAAGAAAATAATTTTTTGTCCTGTTTATGTGTGTGTATGATACTAGGAAGCAAACCCAGAGCTTCACACATTAAGTATATATTCTATCACTACGGTATACCTCCAGCTGTAGGAAAATGAAAATCATTGGTCTTTTAATTCATCTGATATAGCCCCTAACTTCCTTGGCATTTGTTAAATAAGTATTGGTTAAGCCAGGAATGGCAGCCGATGCCTGTAATTACAGAACACTGAGAGGCTGAGGTAGAAGGATCCCAAGTTTGGGATGCCTGGGCAATTCAGTGACTTACTAAGACCTTGCCTCAAAATTAAAAATAAAAAAAAAAAAAATGGTTTGGAGTTTTGTAGCTCAGTGTGAAGGCCGTGGGTTCAGTTTCCAATACCACAGACTGTAATTCTTTTGTTTTCTGAGACAGGGTGTCACTATGTAGTTGAGTCCTGAGTACAGGATGGCCTCCAACTCCCATCAGTCCTCCAGTCTTGGCCTCCCAAGTGCTGAAATTATAAGTGTGCACCACCACGCCTGGCTCCAAGTTGTAGCTTTTTAGAACACAGAATATTAAAAAAATGATTATTTAAACTAATTTTAATTCAGTGGGCATTATATAACACATTTAGGTCTATAACGTAAAATGTACTATTTAAACCGTTTTTAATTAAGTGGGCATTAAAAACATTCATATTATAAAAGCATCACCACTATCTATCCCCAGAATGCTTCCACCATCTTAAACAGAAACCCTGCAGCCATTAAGCAGTAGCTCCTTTCTCCTCCCTCTGAACCCTGGCATTCCTGTCCATTTTCTGTCTCAACAGATTTGCCTAGTGGAGATATCTCACATAACTAGAATGATGACACTCTTGTCCTCTTGGGTCTGGCTTAGCTCACTCAGCAAACGGACCTGAGGTTCATCCGGGTCACGGTGTGTTTCCAAACTTCCTCTTTTTTCCTGGCTGGTTAATATTCTGCTGTCGCGAATACAGCACACTTTACTCATCTACCGAGGCACACCTGCGCGGTCCCCACCCTTGACTGCGTTAGCAACTCCGCGGTGACGCTGCCTTCCCAGCCGGAGCCTCACTCGTCATTACTCCTGGCTCTCTACAGGGGAGCGGGGCTGATGTCCTGTGCTAACTCCAGCCAGCTCCTGGAGGAGGCACGGAACCCCCCCACAGCGGATGGATCCTGTGGCTTTTTTTTGGTGGTGCTGGGGACTGAACCCAGGGCCTCACACACTGGGCTGGTGCTCTGCCAGGGGCCGCGTCCCAGCCCTCGAGTTACGTTCTTACACCTATGGTATCTTCCTACTTGTGATATTCCCAGTCCCCTATACTCTTGCCAGTACTAGTAATTTTCGGGCTGGGGGCTCTTTAGTTATGGTGACTGATTATTAGTAGTACATGTCTGTAATACGTAAGGGATACGAACACAATGGCACGCTCACACGCGGCCTTGGTACCACATCTTACTTCTCATTTCCCCTCCTCCTCCCTCCCCTTTGTTCTCCCTCCAGCCCTAGTGTTTCTGTTGGTTTTGATCCCCGCCTACACACACACACCTAGGACTGAATCCAAGGCCTCCACAATGAGCTGGAACCCCAGCCTTCATTTATTTACTTATTGATTTTATTTTTTGAGATAGGGTCTCACTATATAGCTCAGGCTGGCCTCGAACTTGAGGTGATCCTCCTGCCTCAGCTTCCTGAGTGCTGGGATTACAGGCATGCACCACCATACTCAGCTATTGTTTTAAATTTTGAAAAACCTTATTAGTACATGTCCATAGTATATATTGATCATGTTTCTAGGGGAGCTGGTAATGTACTTTAACACATCTTGATTCTTTTCCCATACCCTCTCCTCTCCTCCCTCCCCTCCCTCAATCCCTTGGTCCTCTTCCCATCTGCAAAAGATCCACCTCCCTGTTTCCTATTGTCTGTCTTTTATTTTGCTCTTTAAATTACTTATACCCTGGTTTTCTCATACAAGTTCAACCACGCAGTACGTAAGCTTACGTGTTGGATTTATCTCACTTAACATTATTGTCTCACAATGCATCCATTTCCTTACACATGACTTAAATTTATTCTTTATGGCACAGTAGTACTCCATTTTATATGAACATCGTATCTTATCTATTCACCTGCTGACAGGAATATAGGCTACTTCCAAGAGTTAGCTATTATGAATAATGTTGCTATAAATATGGGTATGAATGTATCACTGTATTATGATGTCTCTAACTCTTTTGGAAAGATCCTTTCTATTTTGTTATTTTGAACAGAGTCTTGCTAAATCGCCCAGGTGGGACTTGAACTTGAGATCTTTCTGCCTCAGTCTCCCAAGCACTAGGATTACAGGTGTGCACCACAGCACCCAGTTTTATTTGCATTTAGTTAACGATTGTTTTGCCAAGTTATTGGCTATTTGTATGTATATGATATAGCTTCTCCAGGAAAATGTCTATTCAAGTTCTCTGTGTAGTTTTGAACTGAGTGATTAGTTTTTACTGCTTTCAATATATAATCAGAACAATGACTATGAAAGAATAAATATTCTAAGGCTGCATGACAAGAGAGATATCAACACAACTGTCTTTTCTCTTTTTTTTTTTTTTTTTGTCTTTTTGAGACAGGGTCTCTCTACGCAGTTCAAGCTGGCTTTGAGCTCACTGTGTAGCCCAGCCTGGTCTCAAACTCGCAATGATCCTCCTGCCTCAGCTTCCTGAGTGCTGGGATTACAGGTGTGAGCCACCATGCCCAGCTACAACTGTCTTTTCTATGTAATTAAGACACAACAGTTCCAATGCTTTATAAATGTAGCTTCAGCCGCTTACCTGTCCACTCAACACATCCATGACCAAGGACAGCCATAAGCATGGCAAAACCAAGCAGAAACAACAGTCCCCGTTAGCCCGTGGAGTCCTGTGCTAAGAAAAAATTCCTTAAAGGGGTCTTAAGCCCTGGCTCTGGGTCAATGTTCTATGTCTCAGCCACCAAAACCTCAAGGAGTCACCCGTGAAGGACTGCAGGATCTGTCATGGGTTCCAATCCCCCAGCTTCTCCCCTCAGAGAAGGAATGGAAGTATTACAGGATGTAACAGATAGACCTTCAGGGTAGATTTGATTTTCTTTGTTCAGGCTATATTTTCATTCAGTAAGAATCAGTAAGCCGGGGCTGGGGATTTAGCTCAACGGCACAGCGCCTGCCTGGCAAGCGCAAGGTTGTGAGTTCGATTTCTGCTACAAAAGAAAAACAGGAAACAAAAACAAAAAACAAAAACAAAAAAGGAATCAATAAGCTTTATCAAAAGTTTCTTCAAACAGGGCATGGTGGCACATGCCTGTAACCCCAGTGCTCAGGAGGCTGAGGCAGGAGGGTCACTGTGAGTTTAAGGCCAGTCTGATGTACATAGCAAGACCCTGTCTCAAAAACCAAGACAAAAAAGTAATTCAATAAAACTAAAATAAATCTGTTTTGTAAGTCAAATGAAGCTTTAGTAGAAGATATGAGTGGTAAAATTAATATATTTCAAACATGTAATACATAGAATTTTGCTTTAAAAAAAATAAAAGTTTCAAAAGTAACAAAATTTCCACCATATATTTGTCACCCAACTTCCTCTACCACCAACATCTCACATAACCACAGTACAGGTTACAGTGACCAAAACCAGGAAGTAAACACTGACATGATGCTACTAACCGCTGTATACACCTCATTCAAAGCACGAACGGGGTTCCTGTGCAGGCTCTCACACTGCTCACTTCTCTTTGGGCTCCTCCCACCCAGGACAACTGCCCACTCTTCCTGTAGCGACCTCACAGTCTGAAGAATACTTGCAGAGTTACCTTCTGGGATATCCTAAATTTTCTGTGCTGCCTCACGATCAGGCTCCAGTCCTGCACTGTGGGGCAGCGATCCCACATCGCCCTGTCTGTCGTGTCGGGAGGGCACTCGCTTTGGCAGCACATATAATACAGATCATGCCAGGGGGGGGATGCATCTTCTCGTTACGCACGACTTAACTTTGTGTTGTGTTGTGTTGTGTTTTGGAGACAGAGTCTTGCTGTGTCGTCAGGCTGGCCTCCAAGTCATGGCGACCCTCCTGCCTCTTCTCCACCAATGGGCCTTTCTGCTGAGAATTTTCCTCAGCTTTACCTATCAACGAATTTAACTTTCAAGATCTAAAGCCTCACCACCGCTTTTAATTTTTAATTTTGTCCAACAAAATTACTTAGCTGACTGAGACAATAAAGGCCTACGATCGTGTCACACAGCAATTACAAGAACGGCTGTGCAGAGCGCACGGCCGGCGGCTGACCTTTGTACTCGGGGGTGAACTCCTTCATCTCGGGAGGGAGGGACTCGTAGAAGCGCTGCTCTCTGGAGATGAGGGGCTTGCACACGGTGTGGTCGTCGTAGCGCATCATGCTGCTGTGCCCGCCCACCTGGTGGATGAAGGGCTCCAGGAGGACGCCTCGGTCTCCGGCCCGACCGGCGCTCTTGCCATGCTGCCCCACTTCCATGGTTTGACAAACACACATTGCGTTGGGGGCCGGCTGCACACTGGGGGCACAGGCTGTAGCACATGGGCCACAAGATAAGAGCTACGTAGACGGTCCCAGCAACCTGAAGGCAACAGTCACGGTCTGCTCAGCTTCTTATTCTGTCCTACAGAAAAAGACAAGAACAGGGAATCAAAACACCTGCGATGCTGGAGCCACGTACCCTACGTCCACTGGGGAGGCGACTATCCCTGTTGAGTTCCCATTCAAAGACGAAGGGACCAGAAAAAAACAAACAAACAAACAAAAAAAACCAGCAACAGAAATTTACTCTGGTCAGGGTCTCTTCCTGACTCAAAGGAAAGGTTTTTGCTGAGAAATCAGGTCACAGTCATCTCCCAGATTCTCTGCTAAAAGGTCTAAGGACAAGGCAGGAAAAGCTAGTCCTTGGTAAACTGTAAAATCAGAAAAAAAATGTTTTGCTTTTCTCAGAGTACTCCAGACTTCAGAGTTCTTCCACTTTCAGTCTACAGTGCATAATTTATGATCATGTCTAGCACCATGGAACATCCCCTTCTGTCTCTGTATCAACCAGCAAGACAGGGAAAAGGTCTTTGTACTCAAATACTTCCCCTACAATGTCAATTTTCATTAAAGAAAATTAAAACAGCTGCTAACTTCCTTACTAAATGGGTTGTTTTTCAACCAGGAATGTACTAGGCAAGACTACACCTGAAAGACTGAAACCAAATAAAAATATTTATAGAGCAGGAATACGATCCTGTCTGTAAGAGAGAAAAACAATAATGCAAGTTGGGCATGGTGGCACACTTGGGAAGCGGAGGCAGGAGGATCACTGCAAGTTCAAGGCCAATGTGAGCCCTCGTCTCAAAAAACCAAAAAACAGTATCAACGCAAAACTACAAAATCTTAACCCCCACGCTGGGCATAGTGGCACACAGGTCTGTAGTCCTAGCTACTTGGGCAGAGGCTGAGGCATGGCTCCCTTGAGCCCGAAAGTTCAGGGCCAGTCTGGGCAACACGGTGAGACCTCAATCGCAAAACAACAACAGAGCTACTTGGGCAACTATGTTCTACCACTAAAGGAAATCTCTACTCCCATTTCTGGTAACAGACTGCAGGGTTGTTTGTTCTGATTTGGTCTGTCTGGTCTTGAACTCACTATGTAGGCCAAGCTAGGCTTGAACTTGTAGCAATGCTCCTGCCTCAGCATCCCAAATGCTGAGATTACAGGCATGACCCACTATACCTGGTGAATTTCAGTAGTTTTTATGTACATGCTTTTTCGCCCAGTTACCCACTTTTTTTTTTTAATTTTGAGACCTACTGGCCAAGTTGTCCAGATTGATCTCAAATTTGTGATACTCTTTCCTCAGCCTCCCAAGCAGCTGGAGCACTTTGGTGCAGTGGGCTACACCTGGCTAACCAGTTATCCACTTTCCAGTCCTTTAAGACAAGACAGCTCTGTGTCTTAGTAAGAGTTTTCCTAATCTCTATTCTCTCCAAACCTGAGGCTAGCGCAAACTTCTGTAGCTGCACTGTCATTATCTTCCCGTACGTCACCACCACATCATTCTTTCTTATCTCCAGACAATCCTAGCACACAGTAAGTGCTCCAGGAAAAGAGCTGCCAGAATTAAATGGGATCATTCCACGCACAACACAGTAAGTAAAGCACCACACAGAAACAGGAAATCTTGAGCACCAACAGGAAGTGGAAAGCACAGGGGCAACTGTGGAGGGCCTCCAGCCTACTTTGGAATTCACTGCCACTATGACGCCTCTACAAGATTCCATTACAACTACCATCCCTCCATAGCCCATGACTTGCCTCTGTTTCCCAGTGACCCTGGATGCTCCTATTCCTGTCATTGTCAAGGGCATCTGTAGCTTTCATCAGCTCTACGAGCTATTCAGCTACCCACAGCACCATGAGGGTCACTGTTACCAAGGGTTAGTGATCACCCTGCCATGACAACAGCTATCATGGGGCATTTTTCTGCACAACGTAATGAAATACAGTAAGTACCCAACTTACGAACATTCAAGTTGCAAACTTTCACAGTTATACTATAAAAAATTCACAGGTGTACTATGTAAGACTCACTCTGTCAGATTATGAATAAATCTGACTTTTGAGCATTCTCTTGAAACAGAATTCATTCATAAACTGGGGGTTACTGTAACCAAGTATGATGCAAACCTACATAGCAGGAAGCACTTTCTTCCTATCACAATAAAAAACTTTTTTTTTTTTTTTTTAAAGACAGATCTCACAATGTAGTTCAGACTAGCCTTAAATTCACTATATGCTGCTCAGGTAGGCCTGAACTCACTGCAATCCTCCTGCCTCAGCCTCTCGAGGTCTGGGATTACAAGCTTGCACCACCATGCCTGACTGATAACTAAAGACTTAAGCAGCAAAACGTATCATCAGAACTCACTGGGGAGTCCCAGAAGGGCATCACTTCCCCCCAGTACAAAAAAATATCAACTTGGCTGAAGCACCGACTTAACAGACTCCTTTCAACATGGGTCGCTAAACCCTGGGCCACAGCCTGTCAGGAACCTGGCTGCACAGCAGGACACAAGTAACAGGTAAGAGAGGGACGCTTACTGAAATATATGGCCATTTCCTCTTGCCACCTGAGCTCCATCTTCTGTCAGACCAGCACTGGCATTAGATTCTCACACAAATCTGAGCCCTACTGTGAACAGGGCAGGGGAGGAATCTAGGTTGAGCTCCTTTAAATCATCCTGAAGCAGCCTGCTCCCCACCTGCTCCATGGAAAAACTTTCCCATGAAGTCCTTGGTGCGAAAAGGGGGGGGAACCACTGCCTTCAGCATATCAGCAGAGTAATTCAAACCTGCACAGGGCAAAACCATTATGAATGCACCGACTCTGGAGAACAGGGAGGCAGTTCTGTCTTCTCAGCAGTATCAAAATCTTCTAACATAAAAGTAAGCCCTGGTGAAGGGAAGGTGCACAAGAACCAAGTGGCTTTGGGTTTCCAGGCCTCTCAGAGCTCTCTCATGCAAGGAACTGTAACTGTCCAGGAATAGGGCGCTGCGCCTACAGTGAGGAGCACAATCCACTCTGAGCAGAGAGAAATTCAAATGGAGGTCACAGCTCCTCCTGTGCCTCCGTACCCATCACAATCAAGTGCTACTTCTCTGTGTGTAACTAGGCCCGTTTTCTCCTCCGAGCAGAAGATACTGGGTGTCAAGGAGAGAAAGGCAGCGCCTGAGCTTTACGAAATAGCCATTTTAATTCCCTTGCTCAGATGTGCCTCGGACAGACTCAGGCAACACAGGTCTGGAGGACTTTGAGAGATGCCATCCAACTGCTAAGACTGGCAAAAAGCTATTATTTATTAAAAGCATTTGCAGGACAAAGAGGCTTTCACTTTCGCGTCACTCTCACGGTTGTTAACTATGACTGACAAACACTTAAAAGCAAAAAGCAGTTGCAACTAATTTCTACAGCCTCATTCTCTGATCTGCAATCAGAAATGTCATGTGCCTCCATTCAGAAGTGAAAGAACATTTGTAATTCTCTCTCCTCCAGGCCTCTTTCTTCCACCGTCAGAATAAGGCACTTCTCTTCTCTCCGAGGTACCAAGAAACACTAAAAGGAAGCAACAGCTGCTGTGGTAGTACCTGCTTGTAACCCCAGGATCCTGGGAGGCTGAGCGAGAGGATCAGCAGGAATTTGAGGCCAGCCTGGGCTACAGAGTGAGTCCAAGGGTTTCAAGGTCAGCCTGAGCTACATAACAAGATTCTGTCTCCAAAAAAAAAAAAAGGTTTGTGCCCACCCTGGGGCAAATTAGTGACTGAGCAAAACTGTCTCAAAGCAAAAGGGCTAGGGATGTAGCTCAGTGTGAAGACCCTAGATTCTTGTCCTAGTACCACAAAAATGAATAATGGATAGAACTAGAAGAGCAGCAACCATAGGGTTTTGAGAAGGATCATTAGGAAGTCTCACTCAATGTTTAAGCCCTGCTTTCAGAATACCTGTTCTCTCTTTCAGATGTGTACTCACTTTCTTGGTAGGCTATGTGCTAAAGAACTGTTTTTTTGGTTTTTTTTTTTTTTTTTGGTCCTTTTGAAACAGAGTTTTGCTGTGCAGTTCAGCCTGGCCTTGAGCTCACTTTGTAGCCCAGGCTGGTCTCGAACTTGCAGTGATCCTCCTGCCCCAACTTACTGAGTGCTGGGATTACAGGTGTGCACCACTACACCTGCCTCAAAAATCTTGCTCTTATGAAAAGAATTTTATACTTTCCTATAGAATAGTCGGTGGCAAATATGTACTGGATTGAAAATGATTTTACCTTGAAACACTTAAAAATGAAATTCCAAGCCTGGGGGTGTATCTCAGTGATAGAGCCCTTGACTAATATGTGTGAAACCCTGGGTTTGATCCCCAGCACTGCAAAAATAAATAAATAAAATTTCCACTGGTAAAGCCTGATTGTCAATATATAGTAGTAAAACTCCGGCCTACTGATATAATTTTGAAAGAGGACACAAGTCAAAATTATAAAATATTTATACATTAGACAACCATGTTTTGACCACCGTGTCTTTTTTTAACCAAGTCTGTTGTTACTCAGTTGTTCTCATTAGGGTCAGACCCAGGTCCTAGAAGAAACAGGAAAAGGGAGCACATAGCTAGGTTAGAGTTTGTCAAAACGGATACTCTGGCTAAGAGTAAGTTTTGTGTCTTGGCAAAATCATACCGCAGTTGTATGACCCAGTATACAACTTTTACACCCTGAAATGGTTTCAGTCATTTTATCACGGAGCATCTCCCCCACCCTGACGAAAAGCCCACAGGCTCCTGAGGTTCTCAGGGACAGCTGAATTTTCCTCAGCACTGTCACAGCCTCCTGAGCAGCTGTTCCTCATAGATGTGAGCACCAGAGCGGAGGAGCTCAGGTGACAGTGATCCTCTGGGTGTTCCCCATTCAGAGAAGAAATCACGCAGTTTGTCTACATTGCTTATTCTGATCACTGGAAGTTCATATTAAAATGGTTAAA